GAATCGAATCAAACATTGATTTGGATTTGATCAAATAAATCATTCTTTGATTTGAATTTGATCAAATCAAATCAAATTGCGGAACTCTAACCAGTGTTATAGGACTCTAATGAAAAGATAAGTTATTGTTTCTTTTTTAAAAGATTCTGCAAAAGTATTACTAACCTTCATTATCATTTCTTATTTCATGTTTCCCGAATAACGGTGAATCTTACCACAGATCACCATGCCAAAATTCGCGCTTCTCCTTTGCTATTATTCTAGGTCCAAAGTACATTTTTGGCATAAGTGAAGGATTGTTCAACACACGCTCCAAATGCATTAAAGGAGATATGCTAAACGCTTTCTCAGTAAATGCTAATGTAGATGGAGTTTGTTGCTTGTAAAGGGATACATCGTGTTTACGTACCCTAACCAGAGGAAGTCTATTTCTCCATTTACGAATATGCTATATATTTGTAATGATATCGTCTTTGCAAAACTCAGGATGTTTAAGGATTCTAATAAGGTCTTCGTATGCAGAAGTCGCTATATAATTAGATGAGTATTGTATAAATGTAGATGATGTATCATATAAACAATGTAAATGCAAATTACTTTGCATTACTTACATATCATATATTTGGTAATCCAGATAAATATCATTGCTAATGTAAAATTTGGAAAATATGGACCATATTCACCTTCAAACTCTTCAAAATCGGAAGAGTCTTCTAACACATCATCGTCCACTGGAACTTCTTCTATAACGTTGAGTAATGGTCTATGTGAGAGATCTTAAAATATTCGTTAGGATAGATAGTTTAAAAATTAACGACTATATATTTAACTTACCAGAATCATACACATTATCGTAAATATTATTCATATATAAGAAGTCATTTATAACCTCGTTGTCGAGCTCTTTCTCGAGACTCTTTGAATTATTTATAATGAAAAATGACAATGATTTTAAACTAGATAAATAAATACGTATATGTATGAATATGTGTTACTATTAGTAAGTTATTGCTTTTATCATCGATCGAGTTATAACTTTCATCATTGATTTAGTTATTGCTTCTATCATTGATCGAGTTCTCGCTTCCATTATCGATTGAGTATTCTCTTCTATCATCGATCGAGTTATCGCTTCTATCATCGACTGGAAATGGTAGAATATCCATTGGTAAGTTGTTATCTTCATCGATCAAATTTTCATCTTCAACATCGCCTCTATCATTTTCATTGATCAAAAATGATAAGTCTTGTTTATCAATAGAAGTTTCATTATCTTCTAACGCTAAAGGTAACCCTTCCATTTTTTCATAGTTTTGCCGTCATTTGGAAGCAGTTGTGGTAATGCGTAACTTTGGAATATATACGTTGTTAGTGATAGTCTAGTTATGACGCATTAGTACTGCGCCAATTACAATTAGCGAATGATGATCCCGTCGA